ACATTTATCTGAAATTTTGGGTGAGTTTAGTACTCATGAGTTATCACCTTCCTCTTATGGTGTTGATGACGAGTAAAGCGATGCTAAATATCAAATTTAGAAGCATGTAGATTATGAAAAGCTATCATCAACTTATAGGATATTTATATCTAACATTGATAGTATGCAGTTACAGTTGATTATATTTAGATCGAGTCATTTTTTTCGTCAAACTCAGATAAACCTATTAATATGAATTAACACCCAATTTAAAATCTAGTTATCCTTTTGGGTAATCTTTAGTTTAAATTTGAATGATAATAATTCGTTAGGACAAGCTCTTAAATTCAATAAGATGTAAGCTTATCTTGTAAACCTTATTTCTATAAATAAGATATTCATTAATTACAATTGAAAGAGGTTAAATAATGAATCAAAATTTAATCTTCTCGGGTCTTCCTCTGCTAATACCCAATTTTCATTGTTACTCTACATAAATGAGTTTATAAAGAAAATTTCGATGTACGTAATTTTGATGTGGAACAACAGAATTAACTTTAAAATTATGAAACATGACATAGTGACGACGACGCAAATGAGAGAAACACTGTATCATGTCTCTGAGCTAACCCTATTTGCTTTGATAAAAATAAATAAAATGTGCAAGAATTTATTATAAAAATGTAAACTTAGAATAGCATACTGACACAAATGATATAAATGCCATACAAAACTTCATAAGTTATCCTTGCCCCAAGCTAATCTTATCTTATGAAAATGTAGTTGTACATTATTAACCACCTCGACGACATATTTTGAATCTTAAAAGTAGAATTAGAATAATTTTAAATGCTACCTAATTAGAATGGCAAACACTACCACTGCCATATCTAAAGTGGCAGATGCGAAAATAGGTGGGTTGCATTAGATAATCGACAGTTAGCGTAAAAATTTTACTGAAAAACTATGATATGAATCCTTTAAATCATTGTGTAAATGCTAGGGTGTTCCCTGGAAGCGACACAGTGTATTACTTGAATGCAATGAAGAATGAGCAATATCAACTGCACCAGCACCCAAGTACATTATTAAATAAATAGGAGTTTCCACATTATAAACGAATACGAGCAAAAAAGTTAGTCCATGATATTAATATTTGGATAGAAACTTGAAATATAGATACTCTCACAGGTAAACTAATGAAATTAGAAGATATTATGATTCATAGGAAGAAAAATATTTTATTCATTCAAGAAACTAAATGTATTGAAGAAGAGACTAAGGAGATTGATATTTTAGGTTTAAAACTTTTGTATTCATGTTGGATTCTTACTCATAAATTATGTAGTTGTAATTAAAGATAACAGTTTAAAAGATAATGTTATAAAAATTAATATAATTAGAGATATAATTATAACTTTAAAGATTATTGTTAATACTAATATTCTTAATATTATAAATGTTTACGCTCCTCGAATAAGTTTAGATATATGTATAAAAGAAAATTTTAAAATAACCTCGAAGAATTAATACAAACGATACCTCTTGTAGAAAAAAAAATATTGAACGAGATTTAAAACATATTAAGAGAGATGAAGAAGATTTTAGAAACATTCATGGAGGCTATGATTTTGGAGCAACTAATGAAGAATGTAGAGTCATAGTAGATTTTGATTTAGCTTATAATTTTGTTATTGCTACTTTATTTAAGAAAAAAGATGACCATTTTATCTCTTATAAGAATGGATCTAATAAAACATATTGATTTTTTTTTCTGAAAAAAATATATCGCCAAAATTGTAAAGATTATAAGATTAATCCAAGTGACAATTTATGTACACAATATCGATTATTAGTTTCAGATTTTAAAATAAAATATTGGAAGATAAAAAAAATAAAATGAAAAATTATTATAGAATTAGATGGTAATACTCAAAAGACAAATAAAATTATTTTTATGAATAAACTTCAAGATCTTAAGATTTGATATATTCATAAAGAAGTTAATATTATGTGAAAATAAATAATAATTATTATTAATCAAGTTACAAAAGATGTGCTTGAGAAATTAAACGAAAAAACTTATAAATAAAAATAATTGATAGTGAAATAATAATATGCAGGAAAATATAAAAAAACGTGTTATAAAAATTGGTTTAAATGTAAAAACTTAGAGAATTAAAAAAAATATAAGATTGCTCCTAAGGAGTCTAAAAGAATAATTTGTGATGCTGAGAATTATATTTCTTATGATATTTATAATATATTAGATGCTAAAGAGAATTAAAAATATATGAAAAAACTCGTCAAAAAATGAGGTAAGAAAAATAAAAATTTAGTTTAAGTTAAATGTATTAGTGATGAAAATCAAAAAAATATTTTTCTTAGAAGTGGATATTCAAATATTCAATATAGGTGGGTGAGATGTTTTGATAAACTTTTCAACGAAAACATTGAAAATACAATCTACTAATAATTTTAATATCATTAATAATAACAAAATATTTTATTTTCGTTGTCGCATTAGTATATAGAAGTTGGGATGTTTTAAAAAAAATTAAGTGTGGAAAAATAGTACAACCTGATAGTATTCCAATAGAAGTGCGAAAATGTTTAGTAGATTTGAAAATTTCTTGATTTATTAAGTTTTTTAATATTATTTCAAAAACTAAAAAGATATTTGATACATGGAGAAAGAGTATGTTGATTCTTATTTTTAAGAATAAAGGGAATGCATGGGAGTTTAAATTATAAAAAAATAAGTTAATGTGTCAAACATTAAAGTTATGAGAGAATATTTTGAACACACGCTACAATGTGATTCAAAAATTTCTCAAAATCAATTTAGATTCATGCAAGATAAGTTTCTTATGAAAGCTATATATTGGTTGAGAGTTTGATGGAGAAGTACAAAGAGTAGGGAGGATCTACATATGATTTTTGTTTATTTAGAAAAAAACTTATAATAAGGTTTCAAGAGAAATAATTTGGAAATTCTAGAAAAGAAATGGGTTGATATTGCTTATATTCAAGTCATTTAAGATATGTATACTAGAGTTGTTATTTGTGTTCCAACACAACGGGGATTGACCAAGTAGTTTCCTATTTCAGATGGATTATATTAGGGATCGACTTTAAGCCCATATCTTTTTGTTTTAGTAATGGATGTTTTTATTGGACATTTAGAGAAGAATGAACATTGGTGTTTGCCTTTCGCTAATGATATCCTTCTTGCGGATAAGAATAGGAAGAATTTAAGAAAAACTTGATTTATGGAGATCAAATTTAGAATCTAAACACTTTCGTTTGAGTAGCTCTAAAATTGAATACATGAAATATGATATTAGTATTAATAGGTCAAGCGGCGGAGTTTTAACAATTGGCCATTAAAAGGAGTGAATATTTTAGATATCTCAGGTCTATTATTGAAAGCGATGGTGATATAGATGGAAATTTTATTAGTAGAAGGACGGTTGAAGTGGAGGAATGCATCGGGTGTACCCTGTGATAGAAAAGTATCGTTTAGACTTAAAAGGAAAATTTTATAAGATGGTGTCACCTACAATGTTTTATAGTGCAAAATGTTGGTCTGTAAAAGAGAAGCATAAAATCAAGTTAAGTGTTGTTGAGATGAGAATGCTCAGGTGGATGAGCAACTTCTCATTTAGAGACAAATGGGAAACAAATATGTCTGTGAAAGCCGAAAGGGTTGGAGTAGCTCCAGTGATAGACAAGAATAAAGAGTCGTCTTAGCTGGTTTTGTCACATAAAATGTTGTCATATGATGACTCAGTTAGATTTTTTAAATTTGACTTATGCTGAAAAAGATAGAGGTAGACCTAAAAAGACTTGGGCATATTGTATAAGAAATGATCTTAATTTATAAGAATCAAATGAAAATATGACGCTCAATGGGACAAAATGGAGAAAAAGGATTCATGTAACCGACCCCACTTAGTGAGACAAAGGTCTGTTGTTGTTGTACTTAATTAGGATGTCAAATTCTTAAGATGTTTGAATGAGAAACAAGAATCCTTAGAAGACAACTAGAGGCACTCTTACCAAAATTCTATTTCCAACTTCTTTTGGATAGCACTTAAAAAAAAAAAATTTAATCATCAGACAAAGAGGAGGGGAGAGAGGGAAACATGATGGGCGACAATCTTGAAATTTACGAGCAAACCAATTTTATGTAATAAATCCATATTTTTAAAGATATTTTGGTCTTGGCAGTAACATGAAATGAATTCAAACAATATATGGACGGGTTAAAATACCCTCTTCAACACTCATCCAACATACTTCCTCTTGCAATCAAGTAGCAATCTCTCATAAAAGTATTGTTATTAAAGGCATTAGGATCATGCTATTGCATTTAAATCTCAGCCAATTTGGACATTAAATTGTATGATAAAGATCACTATAAAAAATTTAAGGGAAATTTACATAAGTAGCACATAATTCTTATATATTTACATGCTCACACCGAAACTTTTATATTTACATACATAGCACTTAGGTGCTTTAAACCTATACATGAAAATGTGCATTCACTTTTTAAAAGTGTTAATAGTGCTATTTTTGATGTGATATTAACGATATGTGTGTGAATATAAAATTTTAGGTGTGAGTACCTAAATGCATAAGAATTGTGTGCTATATATGTAAATGTCCGGATCTTTAAATATAATAGACATTAATACATTTTCAAATTTTGTGTCACTCCAAAAATCAGAATAACAAAATCTTCCCTAATAAATTGTCTAAAATAAAATTCCCACAAGACATAAAAAGGTTACGTTTACGTTCAAACGGGATCTGATAACAACTTCAAGTTGGAAGCTTAAATATAGTAAGGTTAATCTAATCCTTGTTACTACATATTTCATCTTCTTTATTACCCATTTTATCTTCCCTATCATTATATTCGTTGGTTTCATCACAAAATATGATTTTATGTGCTTTGAAAAAAAATAAAACATTTGCATCGTAGAGATGAACAACAAGCTTGAAAATATTACCTTCATCCAAGTTGAACATACTCCTTTATGAATCCTTCCTGCTGGTGTTGGTCCAAATACGAGCGCAGACGTCACATGGATTCTTGTTGGGAACATCCTGCAGAATATAAAATGACAAATTTGCTGATCAAACAAAGTGTAATCCAACAGGACCTAAACAGGGAGATGTAATACGAACCTTGAAGAAGATGATATTGAATAAAAACGATGCTGCAGCCTTGGAGCAATCGCTGCAAAGAAAACACCCAAAGGCGGCTTGGCTGAAGGAAACTCGGCCATAACTTCAAGAAGGCTCCTTTGACTAGCAATTACCCAGTGAGAATATTCATCCTGGAAAGAAGGAATTTAGTTGCAATTTTAAATCTCATTAATGACATAAAATATGAAAGAGCGCAGTAAACACCAACCTTCCCAGAAGGAGAAGCCAGTAATCTTAAACGTTCTGCTTCATTTGGATCAGAGGCATAAGCAGCTAAAGCAGATAAAGAAGCCTGCACATAGATCATTATTGTATAATGAACAAATCATTAATTGCAAAACTATCAAATTACCAAGTTAAATGGGTTTCCATTAAAAAAATACCTTTTTGGGTGAGCTCAAAAGGTCTGCATATCGAGTCAATGCAGTTCTCAATGTGCAAGGAGAAGGGAATGGAGGGGTGAGAGCACCCCCGTTGAGTGGTGTTCCATCTTCTTTGTCAGCGTGAATGGAGAAGAAAGTATCTGATGAATAACCTAATAACTTTTCTGCTTCCTCCACAGTCTCCAAACAATTTTCAGCAAAGACACCAACATGGTCTCCTGTCTCATACCTGATTATCAAAAGAATCTAAAGATGAGGAGACACAAAAAGAAACCAGGGCAGAAAAAAATCAAAAATCATGACATTAATGGTTTTAAAATCGAAAGATTCATCATTTCTATCAAAAAAAAGAATTTAAGGCAAAAATAATGTTAAAAAAAAATTAAATCCTGTCGAGCAAAAGAAGTGTACAACATACGCAAGGCCAGTGCCAGCTATGTCAAACTCCAGATGAATGCAAGAACGATCAGAAACCGGAGTATGAAGTTCTCTTCTTACAGCCACATTTGCTCTACATTAAAAGAATCAAAATGCATCATTGTTGTTTCAACATCAATGGAAAACCGAAGCAGTTCCCCTGCAGTCCTGCTAAGTAGTTTTCATCAGAATATCGATTCAGCAATACCTGCACGGATGGTTAATGTCATAAATAGCGCTACCATTTGCCAGATTCCAACCCTTTTCTGTATGTGATTGCTCTGCACGATCGATGAAGATGACACGGTATTCAGGCACAACAACAGTATAAGTTCCACCTGAAATGTCATCTTCATCACGGAGCAACTGATCCAACTCTGGCCAGAGCTGCTCTTTCCTGAAAAGATATGAATGGTAATAAGAAAGATAAGAATTTCAAATACAGTTAAAACCATTGCGGTTCTGAAATCTTGCTTCAAAGGATATTAAATTCAAACTTATCCATAAACAAAATTAAGAAGGTTGAAGCCCTCTGCTGCAAATTAGCCAAATACCAAGCGGTGAAGTCGTCTTCTATGCATTGATCATCATCTCCAAGGCCAACTGGAACAAGGCGCTTACCACCTTCATTAGCAAAAAAAAAAATAAAGGAGAATCACTACAAAGAACAAGGAAATGAAATTGAGAATAGTAACATTATCATAAGCTCGAGACTTAACAATAGAATTGAATAACGGCGAAGGCAATAAGATTACAAAGTGACGAAGGATTCCAAAATGTTTAATTTTTATCAAAATTTCCTAATATTAGGGAGAAATCAACCCCGAAAACAAATAAACTTTAATAATTGAAATACAATGATCAAGAATCACAGGCTGACATGTTAAGAAGACAGATCTGAACAAGCAACATAGAAAGGAGCTACAATGCCTAGAACTTTAGAGATAACAATGAGCAAGAGCAAACATAACACCCCATAGACAAAGAATTAACTTCTCGCCAACAAGTTGTTAATGCAACTTTTAATTGAATGCCTCATACCAACTATCTAAGCAATAGGATCTACAAAAAATATGTAACAATTTGAAACGAAAAATGAAATCATACGGCATTTAAATCCTAAATCGTAGCTTAACATACATGTTTAATCATAGAACTCATCAAATAAAACTGGTAGAAAACAAAGTTGTTTGTTTTTTAAGTAATATCTCTAATAGATACTCGTTACAAAAGATAGCAACTATTTTAAAGATGAATGGTTTAAGAGGACAGGATTGTAAGCTCAAAGAAACTGAAACTTTATATAATGCATCCCCTATCATCTGTTTGAAACTCTAATAAAACAAAATTTAAGAAAAAAATGATAGTGAAATACCTTGCTCAGCTAGGATTTCATCCACAACATTCGCAACCTGTGAATCAAGCCAACATAGACTAAACATGTTGTGCCAATTTTTACTTTAAAATAGGAGAAAACGAAAAAAAGCTTGTAATCTAGCATAACCTTATTGAAATGTTCATACTGCCTATTACCCAGCCCGAAAATGGCGTATGTGAGATTCTCTAGCCAAATACCCCTCTCTTTCCCCTAAAAACAGAGCAGTCATCAGATAATCACCCACTATCAGAGCACAACAATAACAAAAAGATAAATTGAATACAAGCTCCACCTCAGTAAACCATTTATAGAACCTTGCAGCGTTATCAGTCGGTTCTCCGTCCCCATAACTACAGTTACAGCCAAAATTTAGCTGGAGAAACCACTTTAAGAATCTAAAAAAGAAAATGAAAAGCTCAAACAGTCAGCTCACGTTGCCATGAAGAACAAAACTAGAGTTTCTTTCTTCATCTTCTCTTCATACTCATCATCATCAGCGGCGTAATCGTCCTGACAAGGATTGAGAACAAACAGAATCAACACCAAATAGCTGGCAAATAAATCAAGCAACAAACCAAATAAAAAAAAGGAAAAACCTTCTTACCAGATCAACAACTTTAAACTTAGCCTTATCGTAGCGGGCCTTCGCTTCCTCCGCCAAAGACTGTAAAAGCAACCTCTCTACTTTAGCTGACAAATAGTCAACACAATTACATCACCGATATCGAAGTCCGTACCTTCGCGAACCCCTCCGCTGTACCTGTTTGCGTTCCGAAGAACACAGTGACCTTCTTCTTCCCGTCGTCTATCTCCGGCTCCGTGACCTCACTTAAAATCGCGGGCCGCTTTGGCTCGGCCTTGGCGGCGGGTGACTTCTGGCCAGCCGATCGGCGCCATAGAAGCAAGGCTACACAGCCAAAAAGCATCGCAACTGAAGTCGCCAGTAGCACTAGAAGCTCTCGATTCCCAGCAATAGAGTCCTGCACTGCTGCCCCCTCCTGGCCTCGCCTACCGTTGAGGATGGCAGAGAAAAGATCCAATGCTGAGGTCTCCATCGTCTCCGATTGCATCTCTCCTAGCCTGGCCTAGATCGCCGGTTAGCCGTCGATCCCTCCCCTTCTATCTCCTCCCCACTCAACCTGGAAGAAGAAGCGAGAAGGAAAGAGTTTGGTGAGAGGGGAGAAGGAGGGATGAGTTGGTGAATCTTTTAGAAGCTTGGGTTTAGATGTTAAAAACTATGGGCCTAGGGGCCCAACTAATGCCGGCCGTGTGGCCCCTTACGTGGCAACTAATGTAGCCACTAATGTGGCGCCGGCGCGACGCCATGGAGCCGCTTAAAAACGCGTCGCGGCGACTGTGGCTTCCCCGCAGCTGCAGTGCTAGCAAATCGACTTGAAATAAATTACTTATACGTTGTTTATAAATTCTCATTATTTTGACATGAATATCGTATGAATTTCATAACAATCTTTTAAATAAAAAATATTCAAAGTTTTGATTAAGAATAATTCAAAGTTATGATTTCCGTAAACTTACTATCAAACTGACCGGCTCAACGAGACGTACCAAATGATACCAAAATTGGTCCAAATCAATTCAAATAAAGCTGAGATCAAGCCTTTACATCACTTTTGTTAGTTTTCTGAGCATAATTGGAAACTCAAACTAGATGCCGAATTTGGTGAGCTTGTGATCGAATCGAGCCTCTCAGCAAGGTGAATCCAACAAACCCAATATCACTAATTCTGGCATCGTTAATGCACTGAAATGTACATCAAATATTTTCATAATCGCAGAAGTCATCCGATCAAATTGATTTATATTTCTTCATTAGTTGCAACCGAAACTCTATAAATTGAGCTCTAACACTCTCTAAAAAGAGGGGAGAGCTTGAAGTCAGAAGAAGATAAGCTTAGAGAATTAGTTGAAGTTGCATTCAACTCCTGCAATTGTCGACCACCACTCACTAGCTGCCACCAATCACCATCGATCGCTTTTGACGAAGCATCATGCAAACCGACACATCTCCCCAACACCGGCTGATCCCAAAGACGATGCAACGACGCACGCCAAAAATGGTGTAGCAATGCAGCCTAAAGAGGGTGTAACATCGTATCTCGAAGATGGGGTAATGACGCACCTCACATGCACTCATGTCGCTCCTGACTCCAGCCCTTATGACCCATGAACATCAATACTACCCATCACTACGATTTACATGACCAACTACGACCTACGCGATCTACAATTCTTGTAATTCCTGACTCCAGCCCGTGCGACCCACAAACGTCTCACTATAACTTATACGACCTACGTCGTCTACAGGTCTCGCTACTCCCTACTACGGTCTCTATGGCCAACTGAGACTTCTAAAGAAACCATCTACGACCCACTTAGTCAACTACTGTCATGGTTATCAATTAAGACCTCTACGACAAGCCGGAGCTATAGCCAAACAACACTCACGCAAACCACTGCCTCCCCAACAATTGACTATGGCTCTTGCAGTCAGGTGTTGCAAAAAACTACAACCACATTACAAATAAACAACTTTGTAATTTCATCTTTCTTAATTCATGAGAAAAGTGAGCTTGTGTACTCACCATTCATAGTGAATTATTTCAGCTGGGTTAGGCCCCGTGATTTTTTTCACTTTCAAGAGTTTTCCACATAAAAAAATTAAGTTGTTTCCTCATGCTTACTTCTCTTTAACTACATGAGTGTGCTAGTTTTTCATGCAATGTTAAGACTATAAATAATCCTTATTTCCAATTGTGAATCTTCTGGCACACATTATATATCTTTATTTGAGTTTTTACACCTAAATTTTAATTTTTACAAAAGTAAGCACCCTATAAGCGCCCACTATGCTGATCAACGGCTGTGATCTGCTTGATTTGCGTCAATTAATTTTCAACTACTTTTGCACTTCTGGACCCCACTTTAACCAACCTTCATAAATCATTTTAATATCATTATTATTAATTTCACATGTAACATACAACTTAAATTATGGGATTTGATATATAGCAAGCAGCAGCTGCCAATTCAATGCAGCTGATTTCTATGACTAAACTAAAACTAAAATCATAGTATTTTATAAAAATAAAAAAATCTTTTATTTTCCGAGCGAGCTACAATGAAAACATTAAAAGTTCGAAAATTTTAAAATCTAACGCAAAATAATTCCCAATTATTTTAAAATCAAACCCTAATAATCTTCTATTAGAACTATTTAAACCCTAATTTAAGATATTTATCAAGATGCATTTATATATATATATATTATATTCTTAATATTATTTAATTAAATGTAAAATGGATTTTAAAGAAGAAAATGTTCGTATAGTTAGATTTAAAAGTTAATGAAAAAGTGAATATTCATCTAATTTTGGCACCATAATTTAAGTAGTTTGAGGACATTTTCAAAATTGAAATGTCGGGGAGAACCGACGCTACATGCACTTTTCCAGAAAAATCAAACACACAAAACCCTAATATTGACACGTGTCAGCACGGCATGGAAATAAGAAATCAACACGTTTCAAAACCGCGTCCATATAAACCAACAAACTTAGGATTGCTCCCATGATTAAAGCCTCGACAGATTTGGGTTCTCAACAAAACAAATATACTTCCAGCACCTTCTTTTCAGCGTAAATTGATAAAGAAAAACCAGCAAAATAGACCTGACACATTAGCAAACAAAAATTTGCAAAAAAACCCAAAATCTTCATCAAATTCATATAAAAATTACCCCCAAAGTTTTATCATTTCATCCAAAACATGTGCTGAAAAAAATAGAGAGTAAAGTGATAAAATTAGGGTTCTAGCTCAAATCTATCAAAATAAGATGTTATAGCAGCAGAATAATCTTCTTCCTATATTCAAAAACACTCAGCTCAATCTTAATCAGCGTCTTCAATTTCTTCGTCTTCCGGCACGCCTCGGAGATAAAGTACATTGTTACACCTGGAAACAAGTATAGATCAGAATAATGCAAATCTAATGAACACCATCTTATTCTGGAAACAGTACAAGTACATCCTACGTTTAGAAAATTCCTATGCATTTACATATCTAAAAATTTCAATTTTACCCATCTTATTCTGGAAACAGTACAAGTACATCCTACATTAAGAAAATTCCTATACATTTACATATCTAACACATAAATGTCAATTTTTTACATTTATATCAGTTCACCTACCCCTGAAAAGGTGTATTTCCCTTCTTAAAAGTTTATAATAGTTGATATTTTCCTATGCGATAAGAAAGATTTGAGTGATATAAATGTAAGCATTAAAGTTTAGGAGTTTGATATGTAACTTGATAATTTTAGATTTTGGAGAACGCCTGATGAAATTAATATGGTAGGAATGTCCATGGTTATGCTTAGGAAGCTTACCTTATAAGTATCTCACCGAGATTTCCTGAGAATTCACCATCAATATATTCTTCAGTGTTAGCAAGCTGGAAGAGTCATGAAGTTACAGTTTCAGAAATTGTTTATAAGAGTTAGAAGAGAAGTAGACGGGGCATCAGTTTTATGAAGTCAAAGTTAAATAAATACCTGCAAGTTCATGTAGGAATCAACTGAAACAAGAAAACCTGGGAAAGAGGAATACCAAGCCATTAGTGGGCAGTTAGAGAGAGAGAGGAGAAATGAAAAGACATTTACAAACATAGCACATAATTCTTATTTATTTACATTTCTAACACCTACAATTTACTTTTTACATTTAAACCACCTATGTCTTTCATATCACATCAAAATACCACCATTTTAACTTTAGATGGTGACATATTCATGCATAGGTAAGGTGACATATATGTAAGAATTAAAATTTTGATGTTAGTTAGAGCTGTATCCATGTAAATCTTTCAAAGAGTGAACATATGCATCAATTGGTACAAAAGAGTACCTTTGTATTCCATTCCCCACTTCAGTTTCACAATCACAGGTTTCCCAGTCAGATTGTTCAGGAATGGCTTCGGGTTAACCGGCACGGTCTGCAGACCAACATTAAAAAACAACCTTCTTAAAAAGCATTCATTGGCTAAATGGGCAATAAAAATAAAACATTAGAATCCGCAAAATATGATAAGGAATACATCAACTAAGAAATAAAATAAATTATGCAGACAATAAATGAGTATGATACAGTTTTATAGCACAACTTTAATCTAGGATATTTTTCATGCATAAATTTAAAGCACCAAAGTGCCATATATATATATATATATATATATGTGAAAGTTTAGATGTGAGAGAAGTAAATACATAAGAATTGTGTGCTACATATGTAAATTTCCCAAATGAAAATTATGATGATTTCACCATAATGCATGTTGGTTGTATTGAATACGATTGGGGCTCTTTGGGACTGGACGTTCAAAACACGTCATTAAATTAAGCATGCCAGGCAATTGAGAAACATCAGACTTTCAAAGATCTACCAAGGAGAAGATTGCAGAGAAGAAATTTTAAATAAAAATTAGATACAGGAGGTATATGTAAAAATCCGTTGTACATTAAGCTTATAGACATAGTACAAAGTTTTTTATTTTTATTTTTATTTTTTAATTTTTTTATAGAACAAAGTACAAAGTTAAAATTAAGTTGTAGCATTTGTTTAAACTATATTTATGTAAAAGATGATACTAATATGCTAAAGCATAAAATTACTCAATGTGAGAGGGCAGGAGCTGCTCACTTTTCTCAAAAATAGGCACCGATTTTCCAAAGATTATAAAAAAAGTTAATCTTTTTTTCAATACATAATGGAAAAATTAACATCTAAAGCAGACAACAAAATTCTGAAGTTGTAAAATAGAAGGACTAATTCACAAGTGTATAAAATATATGGAATTAG